TGTGTGTGTGTGTGTGTGTGTGTGTGTGTGTGAGGTCAGAGAAAGAGAGGAAGGCCTTTTACGAGATGGATCAACACAGTGACCCTAACAATGGCTGGAGCTATCAGAGATCACGAGGCTAGTGCAGGACCAGCAAGGTTCAGATCTATTGTTCCTATGTCTCTGTGAGTCAGTCTACCTAACAACCAAATGCACGTAACAACCAAAGCCCAACTCCCTACGTGCTCCACTCGAAGGCAATCAACAACAACAATCACTTAGTTGTACAACTGCAAACAGTAATGATTACTCTGATACTCAGAAAATGTCTACACTTACCATATGTTCCATATAAATGCACTTTTCCCCCCTTCAACCATTGTTAGGTGAATAGATATCTAAGAAGTAGACATACTCTGTTTTTCTTACAACTTGATGAAAAGCAAATCCTTCAGGACAAAGAAAGATGAAATGACTGATTTCTCACTACACTTAACATCTTCTTTTCTTCGGTATCATTTTGACAAACCCAGGATATAATTGGAAGGGGTTATAGCATGAGCGCAAGCTAGACAAAGACAAGGTAGTGTCTCCAAAGAAAATAGACCTCAATCAGTATTCAAGGTTGGATCCTCCTCTCCTGGCCATTTAAAAGAAGCAGACTGAAGAGGATCAAAGGAGGCTGTCAGAACTTAAGCATTCTCTCGGCCACATCCCCACCTTCAACCTAAGGGATACAAGACATCTAATTCCATCTGCGTCTGACTCACTGTTGCTATGCAACCACGGGCATCAGGAAGGAGTTGAGAGCATCAGTATTTGGAATTAACAGAGCGAATATACCTCCTTCTCAGGCAGTGCTGGGACAGAAGTAACTTAGATTATAAATCCATAGGGTGTAATGATGCCTAAAATTATATATCTCCACTCCAGTTTTGTAAAGAAAGGTGTTAGTGATTTTATACTCTAAAAATATCATTTACGTATAGGACTATTTTGGTCACAAAATATCAGAGATCTGTTCAAAGTCTGACTTAGGTTATTTATTATTCCTAACTTTAGAAATAGGAGTTAAGGCTTAGAGTTTCGGGAGAGATTAAATTTACTACAGCAGTGGAGCTGTATTTGGACTACTCTGTTAGATTTAGTATCTAGCAGATTAGTGCAACATGGGGCGCACACCCCTTCCTCCTGATTCATTCTATCTGCCAGCATTTCCAACGAGTCCAATTACACTGTCGGGATTGTAATCAATGTTATAAAACAAAGTGTGTGTGAATAGTTGAGTGGGGAGCCAATTTACTTTGTAAACTTTCACTCAAATTGCAACTGGGACCCTCCCCCAACCCCCACCCCCGCCCCGCCCCCAACAAGTAGAAGAAACACAAAAAAGACGACTCCTTTGACACTCTGTGTTGATTGCCAATGGCCGCTGGAGGCCACTGTTGAGCCACACTTTGACCCCTCCCCCACCCCTGCATCAAGCAAAACATTTCATTTTACATTCCCAAGAGCGATGCATTTAAGAAATGGTCCTTTGTGAAAAATTTGGCCTATTTTGGACGGTGTAAGAAACATGTTTTGGTTCTGTGAGGAGGGATGTATGATCTTCACAGCCCTCTCTGTGTCCATGACGAACAAGTCATAGTGGAAATTTAATTGGCCAAATGATTTATTAACTTGCAATTTCATATTTACCCGACGTCTCAGCTGATTTCCTCACAAGGATTCATGGAACTGAAGTGCAATTAAATCCGTTCTCTTCCAGAGTAATTGCCTAAAATAAAAGCTTGATCATTTTGTCTAGGTTAATATAGATATCAGCAGAGATAACTCACATAAGGTTTTCAATCGAACACTATCAAAATATTACAACTATGTGGCACGGTGTCTCAGGGTCCCTTAAGAAATATTCTTTGACACAAATTTTGCAGCGATACAGTTTATTTGGTTTGCACTCACGAAGATGAGCCTTTTCTGTTGAAATTCATGTTTGCAGCCTCCTATATGGATTGAAGTTCAACATCAAGAAAACAAAGATTCTCACCACTGGGCCAATTGGCAGCATCAGTATGGATGGTGAAGAGATTGAGATAGTTAACAGTTTTAGTTTGGCTCCACAATCAACACTCTTGGTAACAGCAGCCAGGACATCAAGAGACGAATGGGCATTGGGAAAGTTGGCTGTGAGGGACCTCTCAAAAGTACTGAAGAGCAACGACGTTAGGCTGGAGACTAAGGTGCACCTGATCCGGGCTATAGTCTTAGCAGTTACGTGCTATGCATCAGACAGTTGGCCAGTGAATAGGGTTGATAGAGAATTGATGCCTTTGAGCTGTGGTGCTGGAGAAGAGTGTTGAATATACCATGGACTGCTAGGAGAACAAACAGATTTGTCCTGGAGAAGGTGAAGCCAGAATGCTCCTTGGAATCAAGTATTCTGAAGCTTCATCTAACATACTTTAGGCATGTTGCAAGAAAGGACTGGTCCTTGGAGAGGGACATCATGTTTGGCAGAGTGGAGGGGCAGCGAAGGAGAGGAAGACCTTCAATGAGATGGATCGATTCTGTGACTGGAGCAGTGGAAATAAGTGCGTTTGAGATGGCTAGGTTAGCACAGGATAGAACAGCTTTTAGAGCTCTTATACATAGGGGTCGCTATGAGTCACAAACGACTCGATGGCACATAACAACAACAACATCTTCACAAAGCAGACAGTCCTTTCAGTGTGTTCTAAACTTTGATCTCTAGTAGAAGATAGTATTCTTCCCACTTTCTGGCAATTCGAATCCACCAAAAGATAATCCGTCTCCTTCCTCCTGTGCTGTCTACAGCCTCTGAAACCTCGCCAGAGAGTCAGCTATGAGTCGGTTCCAATGAGGGCCTTTTTTTTTTTTTTTGACATGTACATAGAATATTGTGTTCTTACTTCTTTGAAGTTTGTTTGGTTTTTGGTCGTTGTTGTTTGTTTTGTTTTGTTTTTAAGTATTTACCCCTAGCCACTGGCTGATTAACTTTTGGCGGAACAGACTTCTAAATTAGCCTTTTTGAACCTGGGTTTACTGAATTTGTCACTATCTCAGCATTGTCCTCCATGACTGTTTCTAGAACAGGGTATGTTTTCTTAAGAGTGCTCGATATTTTCCAAGCAAATTCTACCGCTTCCTATTATTTATAACCTAGTTTAATACTTAATAATTGCCAAAGAGTTGGTATTTTGCCTCATTACTTTTAGAATCAAGACTACATGGGATTTTATTTTTTTTTCCTCTTTTGTTCTACGTTAGACTCCCTGAGGATGACATTAGAGAGTCACATGGACATCATTGATCATCTTAACACACTATCTACTCTGACGGTAAATATCTCTTCCTGTGTGTTGTATGACCGTATTCAGGCAGCAGACACTGTGGAAGACATGGAGAGGCAGGCTCAAGAGCTCTACAAAAACAATGAACTCTTTGGAAGTAAGTGCTATTCTCCTGGGCTTTGAGCTTCCTTTTGTACTAAAATCGGCCAAATTCTGTCCTCACCTCTTTCATCCAGAACTCAAAAGAGTAATCTAGGGGTCACAGCCCCCTCTGATGCCCTTAGAAGTGAGGCTCTTTCATGTAGTCAACCAACCATCTAGCCTAAGTGCAAGAAGCTTTCAACAAAGGTCTAATTTTGTTGGCATACTTAAAATTTAGGATGAAAGGGGTTACTCACCAGTTATGGGGTGAAGCAGAGTCCATCCTCATAAGCAGTCAAGGTTATTCACTTAAAAGTGTCCCCACCCTCCTTTTAATTTCATTAAGTGGCCTAGAGTGATGTATTCTGTCTGACCACTTAGTTTGTGATTATCGTCTCAAACTCTGGCTTTGAATCTCTGAGCTTGTCACTTCCTATTAACTGTCTTTTCTGTAAATTAGGAGCCTGAACCTCCTGTCACATTACTAACTCAATTGACTGTTTGGCTGCCCCCTGTATGTACCCTCTAACCAATGAATAATGTCAACCATAAAGTAACCTTTCTGCTGTTGTTGTCTTTATATTTTTAGGTGTTATTTTTAAGCTTCCTTCTAACAGAAGACAGCAGAGAGGTGATACCTCTGAAAATTTCTTTCTTCCACCTGTCATCAAGTATACCATCCGCATGAGTCTCAAGACGGCACAGACTACAAGAAGCATAAGAACCAAGATCTGGGCCCCGGGACCACACAATTCTCCATCCCACAACCAGATCTATGGCCGGGCCTTTGTCTACCTGCAGGACAGTATTGAAAGAGCCATAATTGAATTGCAGACAGGAAGGAACTCCCAGGAAGTAGCTGTTCAGATTCAAGCATTCCCTTATCCTTGCTTCATGAAAGACAAGTAAGTCTCTGCACCGTTGGCCCTTTCTAATGATGGATTCTTATGCTTCTTCTTCTCCTTTTTTTTTTTTTTTTTTGAGAACTCACTTCTGCTCACTCAGAGATATTTAGTGAAAGGGATCATTTTCCTCTCAAACCTTTGTGACATCCTTGCTTCCAAGACAGGGTCCATATTATAATGGCCCCATCATTGTCATTAAACAATCATAAGGTGTTTTGCAAATGGTTCTTATACTCTTTATCAAAGCTTTACATTCTCCAAGAGCTTTATTATTAGGGATTAGGAAAATTGGCTCAAGTTCTAAGTCTACCATTGATTATTGCTCTGGTGGCCTAGTGGCAAGAACCTCTGCTGTGATACTGAAGGCACATGGTTCAAGGCCACCAGCTGCTCCGCAGGAGACGGATAGGCCATCTCTTCCTGTATGATTAACTGCCTCTCAAAACTCACCGGAGGGTCAGCTATGGGTCAGTTCTGACTATAAGGTACACAAAAACAAAAATATCTCTCCATAGAATATAAATATGTATATATTTCCCCGGTGTGGTACTTGTACTCAAAAATCTTAAAATCCATTCTAACACCAATTTGCTCAAAGTCTGTGAGAGGGACTAAAGAGCATTATGTTAAGTGAACTAACTCGGTCCCATAAGGACAAATAATGTATAAGACCATTATTGTAAAACATGTACGAGGATCCAAGTGGGCAAGGGTGGAAGCAGAGGGGTGAAGATGGGTGGGGAGTGGTGTGGTTAAACATGTTGTTGTTGTTGTTGTTGTTGATTGCCTTTGAGTCAAGCATGACTCATAGCGACCCTCTGAACAAAAGGCCTGACACCTCTCTACAACTATCGCTATTTTTCAACATTCATAAGAGTTTCTGGAAGCCTGTTATTTAGGAAGTGGATGCCACGCCTGCTTCCAAGTGATTAATCATAGAGTCGCACAATTTGGTGGATGCAGGGAGGGTTGGGTAAAGGAAAAGGGAAAGATCTAGTGTGAAAAACAAATGTATGTGAGCTTTTAAGTAAAGTCTGTGAGTGCTGCATGGACAGTTTTAAGAAAACATATTGGCCAAATAGATGAAGTCTATTGAAGAACTCACTGAGACAAATATTGCGCTGTGTGAAAATATTTTATATGCCAAATCATTTGCTAGCAACTTTCTTTCTATAAAATTATTTTGCTAAATGAACAACAACAAAAAATATAAGGAGAATGCTTTCAGACAATTGAATTTGAATATACAAGCAACCTGCCAGGTGAATAGCACAAATTGGCTCTTGCTTTCCAACGGCAGTGGAAAAATAAGATTGTTTGACTTCATTGTTTCAAAGTCAAGTTCTTATATAATTCCTCGAGACTGGATATTCCTTTAAAGGAACAGTATTTATTATTCAACCCTGTGACTGTGACTTATATACAATTCGTGTGGTTGTTATTATATACTGTCGAATTGGAGTCAACTCATAGCTGACCCTCCAGCAGGTTTTCAGAGGCTGCAAATTATAAAGAAGGAGATGGCTCATCTTTCTCCCACGAACAGCTGGTAGATTCGAACTGCATACCTTTAGGTTGGCAGGTTCCTTTCTCTGCCATTAGACCACCCGAGCTGTAGTTCTGGATTTGTTTCTTTGTTCTTATCAGTGACTCTGTCTCCCTTGGTTGTTTAAAGACCCCTAGAGGAGATAATGTTATAATCCTTTAAGATCCTTATGAAGGATAGGCACGTATTACAGAAAATGAATTGTCATAAGCAACTGCCCCTTTTGAACTGTGTTTGAATGGCAAGAGCTTGATTTAATAGGCAAAAAACAAACAAACAAACCCCCCCCCACACACACACAAAAACCCCTTGTAGTTTCAAATGAATGAAAATTCTCATTTATCTTCCCCCCTCCATGGGAGTTTTGACATCTAGCATGGTGGTCATCTGGATGTCTCTTTAATGAATATAAGCAATTGTACTCTGATTTCTTTACAAAAGCATCTTCATTATGTATTCCGTACACAAACTCTTAGCCTCACATATTTTGACATATATTATTTAATTTGTTGCACTCTATAACTCCACAAGGTAAAGGGGGACAAGTTTGTTCACACAGATGAAAAAAAAATCTGAAATCTAAAGAGATTGAGTAATTTACCGAAGTTTTATTGCTAGTGGCGTATCAAATTGCACAACTTGTATTTTCTCCTTTATACTATCCCAAGCCTAAAATACACAATCTCTTAGAAGAAACAGTACTGAGGGTTTGTTATAAATGAATAGGCGTTTTGCCTTATTCTGGAGGCAAACAGCAAGACTGGACTTGTCCCATGGCATTCAACAAGTATAAGTGCTTATTCCGTGCCAGATGTTTTTCCAGGGACCAAATTATTAGGTATGATAGCAACTCCCCTTCCCCCCCCCCCCCCCCACCACCAGTGAAATAAAGAAACCATCCATCTCTGAGGCTGAGAAACGGCTGCATTTTAAAGTGATAATCAATGACAGTGACATAATACTTCTGTTAATGTTTATATTTTTTTTCTTGAGAACTTGCAAGATTATAGTTTAAGAAGGAGCAAGTGGTATAGTGGTTAATGATCGACTGCTAACAAAAAGATCAGTGGTTCGAACCCATCACCAACTCTTGGAAGCTCAAAGGAGCACTTCTACTTTGTCCTGTAGGGCTACGTTCAGTTTGAATTGAGTTGATAGCAAAGAATGTAGAGATTAAGGACAAAAATGGCCTTGGGATCTTTCTCTAAGAGAAAGCTTTCATGGAGTCCAGTGAGCAAAATAGATCAATGCAGGATTTCTCTCATTGAAACCACTGTTAGCTGACGTCAGTTATTCTAGTGTTAGGTGTCCAGGGAAGGGCACCTACGTTAGTTATTCTAGTGTTAGGTGTCCAGGGAAGGGCACCTAACAGCACAACAGTGGTTCTCTTTCCTGTGATCCTTTAGTAACCAACAAACAGTATCAGTCACTTGAGAAGCTGTTAGAAATTCTAAGCCCCATCCCAAACACAATATTAAATATAATGAATACTAATGAGTGATGCCCACAAATATGTGTTTTTCTAAGTCCTTCACAGGATTCTGAGAACCAGTCCATTTGAGCTTTCAGATATTATGGACAGGATACTAAAAAACACATTTAGGGATTTGATAATGTCTACCAACAGCCCCCAGTGTAATCATCACATAACCAGCAAACTTTGTAAGAGCTATTTCTACATTCTTCATAGTACCTCTCCCAAGGCTTTTCTTTGTGGAATGCAAGTCCTTTGTCTGCTTTTTAAATTGAATGTTTTGCATTTTCTTTTCTTTCATTTTGAGAAATCTAGTGTAATAATAACTGCAAGCTTCTTAAGAATAGATAAATATAGTTATTTGGGAAGATATCACTTTTCACTGGGTAAACTAATCACTGTCTCTTTTAACTCTTCCTTTCAGATAAAATTTCAGTTTAAACTAAAGATTTTGAGTCTTGCAAACAGAAAGGTATTTGAGCCTTGCAATTAGATCTATATAATAACTATTGTCCTGTGTGGGGCGCATTTAAACACTTTAAATAATTCAGCAGTTCTAACCAACAATCCTGAGCTGGTTTGTCTCTCTTGCAGGATTACAGCATGAAAGCTAGGGCCCTAGGGGAGCCTCACACTTGATAAAACAGTAGAAAAACAAACCAAACCCACTGCAGTTGAGTGAGTTCTGGTTCATGGTGGCCCTACAGGATCCAGCAGAATCGCCCTGTAGGACTTCCTAGGCTGTAATCTTAATGGGAACAGATTGCCACAGCTTTCTCCTGTGGATTAACTGCTAGACTTGAACCACTGACTTGTCAGTTAGCAATGAAGCCCTACATCTCTCTATGCTCAAAGAATAACAAGGTAATACTAGGTAATACGAGGTGGCTTCATGATAAGGAATTGCACTGCCAACTCAAAGGTATGTGGTTTGAGTCCATCGTCTGCTCTTGGGAGGAAGATGAGCAATTTACTGCCTCTGAAAACTCACTGGAAGGTCAGCTAAGGGTTGGTTCTGACTCAATGGCAAACAACAACAACAATAATCTATTTACAAGAACCCACCAAGATGGTGTGACACAGTGACTGGACTGGACTCAAGCTTGTGAGGATGGTGAGGGGTAAGGAGAAGGTCAGATCTGTTGTTCATAGGGTCACTTGCTTTAGGTCCTAGTGGACTTGAGTGTACCGAACAATAAGATCAACTTCTCCTCAGAATTGCCATTCTAACGTAGGACGGGGTATGCTTTTTTGTATATTACAATCTACAAGTGTCACATTCATTTTGGTCACTGGATTTTTGGTTTTCTTTCCACAGCTTCCTAACCAGTGTCTCCTACTCTTTTCCAATTGTGCTCATGGTTGCCTGGATAGTATTTATAGCTGCTTTTGTTAAAAAGCTCGTTTATGAGAAAGACCTCCGACTTCATGAGGTATGTTTTGAATCTTTTCTTCTTATGTACGATTTTTATTCTTAATCTAACCAATCATGACACTTTGTACCATGTCTATGCACTCAGATAGCTTAACCTATACCCTGTAAATGAGACAGCAAGAAAAACATTTTACAACCATAAAAGCAGTGAAAAAGGCAATATTTGATTTGCTCAGAAAGTTCTATCAAATTTATTTTTGAATGCCTAATAAATACAGAAATCTGAGTCATTACAATTCATGATCATTGGAGTACTTTTTGCCAAAGAAGCTGCCTAAAGGATTTACAGTGTGACAGACAAAGTTCAAATAACAATAATAACTATTAAAGCAAAGGGATTGTTGGCATGGCAACTCAGCAAGCCTAAATGCAGGTATCGATGTGGACTTATCCCAGCTCTCAAGAATCATAGTCTCTTGGCTGTGTACCTTGTCCCCTTCAATTACCTTGCTCTCCATCTCTCACTGACTTCTGACTTGTAGAGATGAAGAGCTTGGGGTTAGCTTACTGATTAGCTCCGTAATCACCTAAGGACGGGAGCAAGGACCAGAGGTGCAGAGCGTAATCACTTCTTGAGTACTTCGTCATTCTGGACACCAAATGCACAGTAGCCTCTTTTTAGAATTTATGACAAGTCATCTGGGATGTTTAGATGATCTCGGGAAGAGAAAGTATTTTCTCTGTTCACCCTGTAACGAGTCCATTCTTGTGGAGTGGAAAGGAAGCTGAACCAGACAAAGCTGGGGTGCAATAGTTGTTGCAAGGCCTTGTTTGCAATCTGAAACAATGAAATTACAGTAACCTGTCATCCACATAGTCTTCTTGTCCACATGGACTTTTCAGACTTAATTTACCAAGGCTTCCAGGCAATTATTTCTCCTCTCAACACTCAAATTGCTGCTTCATTCTTTGGTAGGTTTACCACCAAGCTTTCCAGATTTTCCTGATATTTGAATTCACTCTGCTTTGATCTCTATTTGAATTCTGGTTGCCTCTCAGAGCTCCATTCTAATATATCAGTTCATTTATCCCACATATACAAATTTATTTTGGATGGAGAAGAGATTGAGTTTGTTAACAGTTATAGCTAACTTGGCGCCACAATCAACAGTCTTGCCACCAACATCCAGGAAATCAAAAGACGAATTGCAATTAGGTAAATCTGCTATCAGGGACTATTTCAGAGTACTGAGAAGCAATGATATCAGTCTAGAGACTAAGATGTGCCTGAACCAGGCCTTTGTCTTTGCAATTACATGCTGTGTGTCAGCAATTACATGTTATGCCTTCTCAGTTCCAATGGAAATTTTAAATTCAACTTGGGACCCTGATTCAGATGGCAGAGACCTCATATTTCTATTCTGAACTTCTGAAACAGTTCTAACCTAAACTAAGCTTGAGAAAAACTATGGGGCTAGTAAAACTAGTACAGCTGCAACTCAAGTATGTTGACTTCTAACCAACCTTTTCCCATGTTATGGCTACTTTCCCTCCTACAATCTTGCTTTAATAGCTGAGACTTTTATGGACTTTTGAAGATGATGACAGATAATTACTTAGGTTACCAGAGACTCAGAATGACTTTTTAATATCACCTTTTATGTTCAGCTAAGACATAAAGCTGCCATTCCCCACTTTCTTTTCATTCAAATTAAACAAGAAAAGGTTCAAAAATCAATATTTTACTCTTTACTTCTTTAATTTTTTTGAACATGAAGGGAATAAAGTTAGCTATCTCAATGAAGCCATTAATCTTTGACCTTTTCATGGTATAATTTCAGTGGATTTCATTAGCTTGGCTTGAAAAAATACAGTGCAAATATTAATGCCTCATAAATGAGATTTTGTAACATTAAGCCTACAGTTAAGAAGAGGAAAACAACTTCAAAAATGGCTGTAAGCTGGAGTTTCGTTTTCATTTCTTTTAAAAACCAAAACATTAAACTATACAAAGTCTCCTGGAACACAGAGAAAAATACATTTTTTTCTTTTGATTTGTGGGAAATTTCACCCATTTGATCAACTATAAGTGACGTATGAGGCTTTTACCATTCATTAGAGAAAAAATTTTGGAGTTATTCTCTCTCAGTTCAAATAGATTCAGACAGTTCAGCCTAAATTATCCGTGGGAGCAAAGATGTTACTGAGAATTATAAAGGGATTTTTAATTGACTGATGCTTTACATTAGACTGTGGTTGTTTTTTATTTATTTTTTTTTAAAAAAAAAAACCAACACAAAACAACAACGTACTCTTGAGATACGCTATCTATTCCAATAGTGAGAATTGGGAGTATTTCAAGTAAAAACAACAATATCTATATAGCTTATTGCTGTTGTTGTTCGCATCCTTCAAGTTATCCCTTGACTCATGATAACGACTAGGAATGATAGAAGAATTGATGCCCTTGAACTGTGGTGCTGGAGAAGAGTGTTCAATATGCCATGGACTACTATAAGAACAGACAGATGCGTATTGGACAGAATGAAACTAGGCTGTTCCTTGAAGGCAAAGATTCTGACGTTCTGCCTGACATACTTTGGGTGTTGCTAGGAATGACCAGACATTGGAGAGGGACATCATGCTTGGGAGGGTGGAGGGACAGTGCAAAAGAGGACTCTCAATCAGATGGATTGACTCAGTCACTGGGGTAATGGGGTGAGTGTGTCAGAGATGATAAGCTTGGCATAGGATAGAGCAGGGTTCAGAGCTGTTATACACAGGGTTGCTATGAGTCACAGGGGACTCAATGACACATAACAACATGGCAATCCTATGCATTACAGAGCAGGGTTGTGCTGTAAGGTTTTATTGGCTTCCATTTTTTATGGAAGCATATGGTAAGATCTTTATTTCATGTAGTCACTGATTCTGTACCAACTCCCTACCATATCTGGTTGTCAGTCAGTTGAAAGTCACTGATACCAGCTACCTTACCTAACTGAAAAATAGTAATATAAATATTTATCTTACTCAATAAGAATTTCTTTTCATTTTCTCTTCTTTAATAAATAGGAACATTTTAAAAATGAGGCAGCAAGTGTTATTATTTCAAAATAAGTACTTCATATACTTGTTGAGTAAAGATACTACAGTCAAGTTAACAGAAAAATATTTACAACTTCTTTTCCTGAATGCATAAATGTCAACCCTCTGGATAAATGTCTCATGAATGTGATAACGTATTTGTCCAAAACACCACAGAAGTTGTTTCTTCTCATTGGTCTCTGACATCAACTGGGGACAGGTATTACCCGCTGTGCAGAGGCAGTATTCCTGGAGCCACAGGTTATCAGATATTGATGAATTGCTCCAGGAGGTTTGGGCAGCTTGAGACAAGAGACTCTTTGATTACTGAGTTGGCATCTGACATCTATCTCTCTGAGGAGGAATTAGCCACATCCAAGAAAGTGTAGCCAACCACCCTCTGCGGGCCATCTTTCACACACAAGTTTCTTCTTGTTTGCTACAACAAAATTGGCAGGGAATCGCCATCATTTATGGATGACTAATGTGCTTTCATTGCTCTTTCTCTTTATGAAGAGCAGCTGTTCTCCTGGCATGGAATCCTGAAGTTGAACTCTGAAGTTTTATGCTAGAGTAGTAAAATAACTACTTCAGAAGCACCTACTCTGTTAAAAAGTGGGGCAGGACCGGTCTCTCACTTTTACCCACTCCAGAGAATCACAATCTGATGTCATCTCAAAATTTTTTAATGTTTCAATAGTAAGCACCTTTTGTCCTGGTCTTCAAATTGGTCAGGTTCTTTTTCAACAGATCCTCAGAAGAATATATTTGGAAATTTATATGGCAAGTATAAGTTTCCAGGAAAGAAAAAAATTTAAAATATATAACTCATTGCCAATGAGTCATAACTGCTTCTTAGTTGACGATGCAACTGGTTTTCAGAGGCTGTAAATTACTTGGGAGGAGATGGTCCATCTTTCGACTGCAGAGAAGTTGATGGATTCGAACCACCTGCCTGCGGGTTGGCAGTAAAACACTCTACCTTCTAAACCCCTAGAGTTCTCTTTATATATATAAAATTACTTTATCCCATAGTTTTGATAATATCTTAGATGTCATACACACAGCTTATGAAATATATCGGTATCATCTATTTCTGTCATGCATATTCATTATTGTTGGGATGGGGGCGGGGACAGAAATTGCATACAGCCACCTGAAATTAGGTAATGAGAATCAACTTTCAGGGATTTCATAACTGTCTGGTTCATCATTTTCAAATAGACATAAACTCAAGTAAACCTCCAAAACATAAATAGTAGGGAAAGCAAATTTTAAAAGCATAAGCATATGTAAATAAGTGAGTTTCTCTGAAATCCAACCATCAAATCATCACCACTTTGCAGTCAGTTCCAACTCCTACTGACCCACCACTGAGTTTCCTAAGGCTGTAAATCTTTATAGGAGGAGAGTGCCCCTCTTTCTCTTCCAGAGCAGCTGGTGAACTCAACCCACTGACCTGTCAGTTAACTTACGGTCAGTTAACTTACCCGTCAGTGCAACTTAAAATATGCGATATCCACCAGGGCTCTTTATAAAACACTTGATAGGTTGGAAAGTAAGGAAAGAACCCTGGAATAATATCTATATTTTTTTCACTCCAAATTGTAAGTTGTTTTTGAAGGTAGCATGTGCTGTCCTTGAAGGACGTCTGCCATGATGTTGTTTTGCTTTACCTCACACTTTTATTCCTACAGAGACATAGGTTGAGTTTTCACTGCAAAGTCTGGGAGAAGAGAAGCAATGGGAGAGCAGAGGGTGAGGAAGAGGGCGAAGTTAAGTGGAGCGAGTGGTCACAGGCTTTTCCTCAGTGCTGACTTGCTTAAGGCCCGCAGTTTGGATTTTGTTGGCAGTCGGGTCGCTGTCTCCATGGTAACAACAGGAGCGGCAGAGTTATCAAAATATGATAAGTTGCAAAGGCAGAAAGTAAAAATTCACTATTATTCTTGTAGAGCAAACGATCCTCTGCATTCTTTATTATTATTTTTTTTAAAGACAAGTTAGGTTTAAAAAGAGAGAAAGAAAGAACATTGATAACAATTGATTTAAAAAATATGAACGGATTATCAAGCTGTTAGTGGAGCATTTCTTTTGTTCTTTATTGTTTAATGGAACATTAGCGTCAGGAGCTTAACACTAATGAAGAATTATTAAAATTAGTAAACAGAGGATCCAGACTCCCCAAAGTACCACACGCTGCCAAGTTCAAGGAAAGTTTCTTCAGATACTTTCTGGAGTTAATGTCACATAGATTATTCTGGTCTGTCATTTCACCTCTGTGGAATGTTTTCACTTCTGGGTATATCACAGTGGTATCAAAGAATATCAATTGAGATAGAGGTACAGAGAATCATAGACACATGGATTCATTATGTGTGCGTGAATACATTTTTGGAAAATAAGAATGATAAACTTGACCCTGAATGCCAGTAAATTTCAAAGATGAAGAAGTTATGGCTAAACGTAGAAAATCTCCTTTTGATGTTCTCATGTTTTAAAATCTTAGGAATGAATTTATTTTAGAGTGGTTTTTTTCATTACATGAATACTGATTGTGTTCTTTAATGGTTAGTTTAAAAAAAAAGTTTTATTATCTGAAACCCTACATTGAACTTTAAATTACCATGTCTTTTTTTTTTTTAAAACCAGTTTGAAATATTCATGCCTACACAAATGTCAAGTTCAGGTTGTAAAATCCTGCAGGAGGTGCCATCAATTTGATGGTCTATTGTAAACTAGTTTAATTTGGAGACATCAATTAGGCACCAGTAATAAATGGAATTGTTATTTAAAAAAAAGAACTTTACCTTCCAGATACTTCAATTATGCTGCAAAGATCTGAGAGCATGTGGTCTAAGAGGGCTCAGTATAAATGGGAACATGAACAAATAACTCGTGTAATTCATTAAAATACCTTGTCCATTTCAGGGGCATTTTGGTATGGTACAGTAAGAGTTTCTATAAATTTATTTTTTATAAATTAATAATATCAAGAGTATAACAGCTTAAAAAACAGCTAACATTTCCTCTTTCTTGCAGTACATGAAGATGATGGGTGTCAACTCCTGCAGCCATTTTTTTGCTTGGCTTATAGAGAGTATTGGATTTTTGTTGGTTACCATCATCATTCTCATCGTCATCCTCAAGTTTGGCAATATTCTTCCCCAAACAAATGGGTTTATTTTGTTCCTGTATTTTTCGGACTATAGCTTCTCAGTGATTGCCATGAGCTATCTCATCAGCGTCTTCTTCAACAACACCAACATTGCTGCTCTCATCGGAAGCCTCATCTACATCATAGCCTTCTTTCCATTTATCGTTCTGATTACCATTGAGAATGAACTAAGCTATGTCGTCAAAGTATTTGTGGTGAGTAAACTGGAATGGCATGTATGCGAGGGGAGGGGCACTTTGTGTTCAGATTCTCAAACAGAAACTTTACTTACGATAATGATAGTGTTTTTTATTTTGCATTGCTACGCACTATATAAGGATAAGAGTATGAAGACAAGATTCTCTGCATAGTTTTCAGAACTATAACATATGATGTTATAAACTGATGTTGAAATGCAATAGATCGTGCTTCAGAAGTGGTTAAAAATTCTGATATCCCTCCTCCAATTCTGTAAACATCTTAAACTCTCTTCCTAAAATTACTCTTATTTATTAATAAGTCTCATGCCTTTTCATAACATACAATAAAAGTCACATGTGTAAACACAAATGCACTGACAGCATATAATCAAAGTTTAATTCTTTTCTGTTGTTGTTGTTATGTGCTGTCGAGTCACTTGCAACTCATAGCGATCCTATGTGCGACAGCCCTAAACCCTGCTCTATTCTGTACAATCACACTGTCTCTGACACTCCCATCCCAATTACTCAAGTCATTGAATCAATCCACTTCATAGAGGGCCTTCCCCTCTTGTGCCGTCCCTCCACCATCCCAAACATGATGTCCCTTGCCAAGGGCCGGTCCTCTTTGCAAAATGTCCAAAGTATGTCAGACGAAGCCCCAGAATCCTTGCCTCAAAGAAGCAGCCTGGTTTAACCCTCTCCAGGATGAATCTGTTTTCTTGGCCGTCCATGGAACACTCAATACTGTTCTCCAGCACCACAGCTCAAAGGCATCAATTCTCCTTCTATCCTCCCTAGTCATTGTCTAACTCTCTGATGCATAACAAGTAATTGCAAAGATCATAGGCTGTATCAGACACACCTTTGTCTCCAGAGTGACACCTTTGCTCTTCAGTACCCTGGAGAGGTCCATAATAGCAGACTTTCCTATTGCAATACTCCTTTTAATTTCCTGGCTGCTGGTGCCAAGAGTGTTGAATGTGGAGCCAAGCAGACTAAAGCTGTGAACAATCTCAATCTCTTCACCATCCATCCTGCAATGATAGGGAATTTTTTTATTTTGCATTGCTATGCACTATATAAGGATGTTGTTGTTGTTTGGTGCTGTCGAGTCGTAGACGACTCATAGCAACCCTATGAACGAACGGCCTAAGCATTGTTCGTACACAGAGTTTCCGGAGGCAAGCCATTTTGGAAGTGGATGCCGCTCCTGCTCCCAGCTATATAAGGATAAGAGTATGAAAAGACAAGATTTTCTGCATAGTTTTCAGAACTATAACATATGACGTAATAAACTGATGTTGAAATGCAATAGATCATGCTTCAGAAGTCGTTAAAAATCCTGATGTCCCTCCTCCAATTCTTTAAACATCTTAACTCTCTTCCTAAAATTACTCTTATTTATTAATAAGTCTCATGCCTTTTCATAACATACAATAAAATATTAAGTTAACGTGAGAATTTTAATAAAATCATTGGGCTTACTGGCTTTAAAATTTGGCAAACAGAAGCAAATATCTTCTTTGACAGAGAGTCAAACTGAGACTTCGGTGTTTGTGAAAATAAAAAGTGTTATGTAGCTTTCAAAATTTTTAAGTTGGTCATTTGCTGCATTTTTAAGCATTCAATCAATTGACATTGTATTATATTTTCATTCACAGGACATCTATTTGTCTGGAAATAAATTTATGGCATTGTCTGCCAATTACAATATTTAATTTAAATTTTTGTTTTGATATTGTGTTATTCTGTTAAGTTCTATAAATTGCTGAGTAATATTTGATGAGTTTAAATCTATGTTTTGGAGTTTGGACAAATGTTTCCCAATTCCAATTAGCCTGACTTTGTGTTTGGTGAGGTTTTACTTCTATCCCCTATCCTCTTCTTTGAGCATTCTAGAATGTTTGGTCAGGGACCTCTGTATATTTTTGAAATATCCTAGCAAGCAAGTGTTGATTTTAGCTGTACAGGTGTCTAAAGTTTTAAGTGTATAAGGTCCCTCTGGAGGAAAGACGTGAAATCTACAGTGACTATCGTTGCCCTTGCTTATTTTCACAGAGCTTACTCTCCCCAACGGCATTCAGTTATGCAAGTCAGTACATCGCACGGTATGAGGAACAGGGTGTTGGTAGGTTGGCTTTCTTTAAACTGGACTTCCATCCTTCACCGCTGCTGTTGTCACAAAGAGAACACACAGTCTTTGTTCACTTTGCAGGTCTTCAGTGGGACAATATGTACAGCTCCCCGGTTCAGGACGACACCACTTCATTCGGCTGGTTGTGTTGCCTCATCCTAGCTGACGCCTTCATTTATTTTCTTATTGCGTGGTACGTCAGGAACGTTTTTCCAGGTATGACCATGCTTACTACAGATGCTTGGATTTTTAAGGTTGTGATTACATAAAGGGATCTTGGAAAGGGACCTCATTCTTTGAAGGGTGGAAGGTCAGCCAAGGAGAGAAAGGCCCTCAGTGAGATGGATTGACACAGTGACTGCAAGAATGGGCTTCAGCACAGCTGAGATTATGAGGATGGGCAGCCTATGGCAAGGTCTTGATGTGCTGTATGTAAGGTTGTTGTGAGTCAGAGCCCATTCAATAGCATAAAATAACCACAACTTAGATTCAGTGATAGAATGATCACTTTCTCGCTTTCCACATGGGAAATGTGGGGTCCATTCTTTCCTAATACGGTTCACACACAGTCTCCACTCATCTATCATTGAAGGCTTGAATGTTGCCATAATGCTGCTGAAAAGGTTCAAGGGGAGCTTTCAGATTAAGACAAAGAAGAAAGGTCTGCTTAATATACTTCTGAAAATCAACCTATGCCATCCCATGGCTCACGAGGGTCAGCTCAACATGAGTAGATGCCATCGTGGGGATAGCTCAGGACCAGGCTGTATTTGTTGCATTGTGCATGGAGCTGTTATGAGTTAGGAACTGACTCTACAGCAGCTAATGATCACAGTAATCCTCATCAATAAGCTGTTGTTGGGCGCTATCAAATTGGATTTGACCCAAAGCTGACCCACCAGCAGGTCTTCAGAGGCAGTAAGTCACAAGAGAAGAAATTGCCCATCCTTCTTGCAGGGAGCAGCTAGTGGATTTGAACCGTGTGTCTTTGGGCTGGCAGCACAACTCCTTACCAGTAGGCAACCAGGACTCCCTATAAATAGGCTAGCATATGTGTTATTGTATTTTATTTGCAAAATATAATATCTAAAAAAGTAACACTTGAATCTGGAAACTAACCAGAAGCTTCCAGGATGAGATAATGCACTATTGAATTCTCTCATTGGCATTCCTTTAAAACATTGAGTAAATTAAGAAGCATGGAAGGGTGTCGGATTGATCTAGTCTCTCTAAACGTGATTATGAGATGCTATATGGAGAAAATACGGCTCCTAATTTTAAGAAGAATTTAACCATGTGCCAATGGAGGAAAAGGAGGAGTTGGGTTCCTGCTTTTAGGGAACAGGTGACCATACCTTTTTATATAATTGTTTTCTCAGAATTTTATTATCTTTTACTGATGCTGTAAAAATGAATAAAATGCATTTAATTAATATGAAATATACATATCTAATTTACATGACACATCTGAAAAAGACAAGTATGTTAGAGGCATACTAGTGATTGCTTGGGACATGAAGTGGGAGTCAATATAATCTGCAAAAGGGTATATGAAAAATTTGGGTGATAGCAATGTTCCTCAGCTGAATTGTGTTATTTTAAAATCTTATTAAAACCATGTAATTACACATGTACAGTGGATTAGTTTTATAATAAGGGAGCTCTGGTGGTATAGTCTGCAGGAAATGGTGCTCAAAGAATGGGTCTCTCTACAGTTGGTCTGCCTCAGGCTCTGCAGGGGAGAAAGATGGCCAATCTCTTCCCATGTGATTCAGTCTTAGAAACTCAGTGGAAGATTTCTAGTTTTATGATATATAACTATAGCTTAATAAATCTGTATAAAGAGATAAATTCATTTAAAACAAACCCTCTACCTTGAGAAATAAGACCACTCTTCAGCTTTATATAAACATCAAAACATAAAAATGTATTTCCTGAGCCATATATAGTGTATTCTGTTATTTAAATTCTAGTGCTCGATGTTAATGATGAATTCATAATCTCTTTTATTAATTACAGGGACATATGGAATGGCAGCCCCATGGTATTTTCCAATTCTTCCATCCTACTGGAAGGAGCGATTTGGCTGTTCAGAGGTGAAGCAAGAAAAAACCAATGGCCTTATGTTTACTAATATTATGATGCAGAACACCAACCCATCTGCCAACAAGACAAGTAGGTCAACCACATGCAGTATTCTGAGGAAAGTGGTTATGAAAATTACCTACTAGTGATTTTCATTAAACTTATCTAAACGGCAAAATTATCATCCTTTTAGTCATGGATGGATATGTCTACACAAATGGGTTTGGACTCTTACGGGCATTAAATTGTGGCTTTTTCTGGGCTCATTAGCTCAGTTGGTTAGCATATGGCACTAATTAGTCCAAGATTGCAGATCCCTTTGTGGTCCAGTTAGATTCATACAGTGAAAAATTTTGTTCCTTGGCCACAGTCTGTATACCCTAACTCAAGCCATCTGTCACCAGTCACAAGGAGTAACCAAGTAACAGGTATGAGCAATTTAATATAGCTTGCTACTGACACTGAAAACAATAGCTCATTCATTGTCCTAGTGACATTGAATGAGTAGTGTCATCTTGATAAAATAACTTGATCCGTTTAAGTGGTCCTTTTGTGTTACCTGAAGGTGATGTAGGCAGTAATTAATAAACTAGATTCTGTAATCCACAGAGCTAGGCTTGTCATTGTAAAATCACTCCTGTGGACATTTATTTCAAAGTTGCTGCTATCTTACCCAAATAGAGGACCTAGCCCCAGGCATTTATTTTGAACGTGTGAGCTCTGTGGAATTAAGAATATATGATTATAATTCTGTATTCCAGGATTGCTTTTGCCAACAGAAAAAAGGTGATATGAATCTACAGAGTGCGGTTGCCCCACTCATCCTTATTACAACGAAGTGAAAGAGGACTGAAGACTACCATTCCTGGAAATTTTTTACTTAGAAGGCTATGTTTTTATAATGTTGTATTTTTAATTAAAGGAAAGAATAATTGTACTGAATTTCCTCCATTTGTGACCTCACAACTGGCTTCTTGATTTTTCTCTAGGTCCTGATTATATGTTTCCCTCCAACATTGAGCCGGAACCCAAAGATCTCACAGTTGGGGTTGCCCTACACGGAGTCACGAAGATCTATGGCACAAAGATTGCTGTTGATAACCTCAACCTGAACTTCTATGAAGGGCATATCACTTCCTTGCTGGGGCCCAATGGAGCTGGGAAAACAACCACCATGTATGTTTCCTTTTTTTTAAGCTTTTTAAAAAATTTGTTTTAAATTTTATTATTGTGTGTGTGTGTGTGTGTGTGTGTGTGTGTGTGTGTGTGTGTGCTGTCAGATCAGATCTGACTGGTACAGGAGGAGATTGTTCCTCCTTCTCCAGCAGAGCATCTGGTGGACTTGAACCATGCACCCCTGGGATTGCAGTACACCTTCTTGCCACTAGGCCACCAGAACTCACCCATGTATGTTACTTTTCAACACTTACTATCATGGGTGCATTTTACTCAATATCCCCTCTTATAAAGGATATTGTTGTTTAGTACCATCAGGTTAGAACCGGCCCACAGCTGACCCTCCTGCAGGTTTTCAGAGACATTAAATCTTATAGGAAGATATCCTGTGGAGCAGCTGGTAGATTCGAACCGAATGCCTTAGCATTTGCAGTATTATTCCTTATCACTAAGCCATTTATAAAGTAAAGATTGTTCTAGATTCTGAATGGAGTAAGATTACTCATCTTATGTTAGAAGTTCCAGATTGTGAGCTCAAAGGTCATCTCAAAGCCACCAAATGGGTTTTCTTTGATTCGCTCAGAGTCAGTCCACCTATTAAGAGTTAATAATTTTAACTCGGCGTCAATATTTTTAAATGAGGAGTTTCTAAAGACTAAATGGTCTTTCATAGATACAGTGAATTCTGATGACACTGACTCCATAGTCCTAGATATTTGAAACAAGTGATTTGAATTTATTCATTCAATAATTATTGTCAAATCTGAACTAACTCAAAGCTGGCTGTTCATTGTGTTTCCTGGCCTATAACCCACAAGAGAAGAGATTGCCCATCTTTCTCTCTGGTTGATGTGAGTTGACAGAGTCATGGCCTTTGGATTACCTGGATTAGCAGCTCCTTGCAGACTATGCTTAGCTCTCTCAAGTGAGGCATCTGTTTGCTGGCCCCCATCCTGCCCCCGTTATCACTAGTCTGCACCACCTCATAAAACTATCTGCTTCATTTCTTTGCATTTCTATCCTGGATTGTATATAAATCTAAGTTTACTCACCTTGCTATAAACACATTGATCCCCAACTTCTCTATCCAGAAAATGATGGCCTTAATTCAAAAGGAAACACAATACTCACTGGCTATCAGAAATGGAACAAGACGTGAAGGAGAGGTTCATGGGTGTTTTTCCTTCTTCTTCACTTAACTAGCATTTTCCTGAGTCAGAATGAAGGAATGAAAATGCATTTATAGAGGAGATTCTTTTGTGTGTTTTGGGATTCATCTCTGACACTCCAGTGTAGCTGCTGAGTCAGCTCTGAGATGCTACTAATGCTCTAACCCTTAATTGAAGGGGGGGATAGTTAATTCCTGCATATCCTATTTAATATACTCATGAGTAAGCTAGAAATCACCGAGACATATTCAAATTAATTTTTTATTTGTAAATTAAAGGGAATAAAGCAAGGTCATGAAATAAGTGAGCATGTGGCCTCTCATTTGCATGCCCTATTTACATTTTAGAGTTGACTTTCTGGTGAGAATTAATAGTGTTTAAAAGGAAAGATTTCAAGTAGGAGAAGACCATGAAGAATAGGGTAAGGAAGGCTTTTATAGGTGGTTTGATTTTTAGAAGAGACGGTACCATTTTATCTTTTATTACATTAACCTTTTATATGAATAATTAAGCCCACTATATGTATTTCAGGATAGTTCTGGTAGCCTAGTAGTAAAAAGCTGCACTGCTATCCCAATAGCACATGGTTCAAATCTACCAGTCGCTCCATGGGAGAAGGATGGGCAATCTCCTTCTATGCAATTTTCTGCTTCTACAATGCACTGGATGGTCAGCTCTGAGTTGGTTACAGCTCAAAGACACAGAACAACAAAGCATTTGTATTGCAGTGCATTTTTATGAGAAGAATTGATATTGTATTGGTTCCATACTTATTCTCAAGTGTTTATTGAACATTTACTGGATAGAGTAGTGAGGAAGAGAGACGCTCCTTGCGACTTCACAGAGCTTGTGGAAAGAAATGGGTATTAAGTACCTGCCCAGTTTCTAACCATCTGAAAGATAACTGAGAAATTGTTTGGTCAGATCATTCCACCATGTGGGGATATAACTGAAGATGATTAAAGAGCACATGAGAAGTAAAGGTGAAGAACCTACAGCAGTGGGGTTAGGTAAATCATGATAGAGGTTTAGACTGCGGTGGTTGCTGTAAAAAATAAAGAGATGTGGGTGCAATCTAAGGATACAAAGTGGGAAGAAGATATAAAGATAGTTCCTGGACTTCAGGTATACACATCAAACTCAAACTCATTTAGGTTGAGTCAGAACCAACTCACAGCTGTCCCTCCATTGTATTTCTGAGGCTGTAAATCACTTTCTGAGAAGGGATTGCCTATCTTTCTCTCAATGGTGGATTTGAACCACTAGAGAGGTGCAGTCGTTGGGTTAGTAGCACGACTCCCTCTAGACTCTGACCAGAGGGGTCCATTGGTGGATTTATCATAAGCTGAAATAGATAATATGGAGAGTGCAGATTTCAAACAAATATCATGAGTTTAAACCAGGTTGAATTGGAGACCACCAACGGTGAAGTGGCATTGACTGTTGTGTGTATGGAGCAAGCATGGGGTGGAGTGAAGAGATTGGGACTAGAGACATGATTAAGGCTTCATCAGCCTATAGTGTCTCCCTAGTGACAGGAAAGAACACGAAATCGTCCTGGAAAAGTGTACTTGCAATTAAAATCCCAACAATTTCTGCCACTGTTACCAACACTATCATCTCATTATCATTATGTAGTGTTTATGTGACTACATTATTAACAGCTCAAAAGTAATTTTCTATTTTTCCTGTTTAATATCATTTCATGACTTGACCTTGCCTGGGGAGATACACTGTAACAATGTTTGCTAACAACTGCAATACTTTGAGCCCTAAAATCTAGCTTACCTGCTTGGTCCATAACCTAATCGATATTTTCTTTCTTTCTTTCCAGTTCAATGTTGACCGGCCTGTTTGAGGCCTCAGCAGGCACCATCTTTGTCTATGGGAAAGATATCAAAACAGACCTCAACACGGTCCGGAAGAACATGGGCGTCTGCATGCAGCACGACGTCTTGTTCAGTTACCTCACGACCAAGGAGCACCTACTGCTGTATGGCGCCATCAAGGTGCCTCACTGGACGAGAAAGCAGCTGCATGAGGAAGTCAAAAGGTGAGTTAAAAAAAAAATTAAAAAAAGGTGAGTTATGATGGTATTAGAACGTGAGCTGGTGAATCTTCATGAAACAATCTCAGGATGGTTGGTAAAGCTGTAAGACTACCAGTTAGGATATGTTTTCTCACAAAACTATACCTTTTCTGAAAAATACTGCATAAAGCCACTATTGTAAAACGGGACTGACATTGGGGTTGAGGGAAGACAGAGAAGAAGGGGAGGAATGATGTATACTGCATTGCAACAGACGAGGGAGAGAACTGTTTAAAAGAGATATATGATTGGGTACTATTGTCATGACAGGAATCCAGAATGAAGGCTGCACAGTGCAGTGGACTTCGGGGGAGATATTGCATAGCAATGAAAGAGTTTTTCTTTTATTCATCAAGGAGAAAAGTGAATTGTGGGGGAGCGGGTTGGCAGGGAGAAAAGTGCAACAATGAATGACTGGAAACCCTATGTCTCTGTAAACTTTCATGAAATTGAATTTAAAAAACCCAACAAAACAGAACAAAAAAATAGACAACTATACCTTTTCATTTTCTACTTCTCTGGCCTTGTAGACTTTTAATGCTACTATCTTTAAGAGCCAATTATTCTGCATTGACGTTGTTTACATTTCTTTGTCTCTGGTTCCCACCTCAGCCCACTGCTTCTTTCTAATCTCCACATATTCCAGTCCAAGATTCCTCATTAACTTCTTAAGATCTACTATTCTCTCATGCAGTCTAGTGTTCACAAAGCAGCCAGGGAAATGGTTTTAAACTGCAGAGCAGTAACGCCTAGTTCTATACCTACTTCCTATCACGTGCCGGGAAATTTGGTAATTAAGATTTGTGAAAGGGAGCTTTGGCGGCCTAGTGCACTGCAATTCCAAAGGCACACAGTTCAAATCCACCAGCTGCTCCACGGGAGAAGAGTAGGCAATCTCTTCCTGTGTGATTAACTGCTTCTGAAAACCCATCTGAGGAGAGGCGATGGGTCGATTACTATTTGACGGCACACAACAACAAACAACAACAAGGTCTGTGAGACTGTGCATGACTTGCTTGCCAGTCTCACCTCTGATACCACTTCTCTCCACTCTTTGCTTCATTTCTCCTGCTCTGAGCATACTGGTCTTCCTACTTTTGCTTGACTACACGAGGCCTGCTGCAGCTTCTAACTTTTACTGGCTGTTCCCTCCGCTTTCAGTGTCCTTTCCCGATAGTCACCAGCTTCCTCCTGCATGTTACAGTTCTTTGCTTAAATATCCAGGAGCCCTGATGGCACAGTGGATTAGACACTGGGTTACTAGCCAGAAGGTCAGCGGGTGAAGCCCATCAGCCACTCCTTGGGAGAAAGATAGACAGTCTGCTTCCATAAAGAGTTAGAGCCTCGGAAACTCAACCAAGCAGTTCTTCTTTGTAGGATCACTTAGAGTTGGTGTCCCTGTGACAGCCAGTGAATCTGCTCCCACAGCACTTTTCTCCGAGATGACTGTGACGTATAAGACATGCCTACGATGGCATCCCCAGGTGCTCCTTACCTCCTGTGGCCTGCTTTATGTTTTTCTTTAGTGCACCTCTCATATTATTAACTTACCAGAGAGTATGCTTCTTGGCATTATTTCCCCTTTATCCCTCTCAATGCATGTACATCCTAAAGCATCATTTTCTGTGGGTGGAATAATTATCTGTTCACTGCTTTTCAACCCGAACCTAGAGCAGAGCGTGGCACACAGAAGTCAGGCACTCTACAAATGTTTGTCAAAAGAATGAAGAAAAAGAAATCTTCCCTGATGTTGTTTTCTGCTTATCGATTTTGTACTTGCAACTACACAATAAGCAATAGAAAACTATAGGTTTATGAATCATCACTACATTTTTTGTACTTTACCAAGTACCTTGTAGCTACTTAGTGATTATCTCTGACCTAAGATATTTATTGTCATTTTCTTGTCTTCAAGTCTTCTATCTATATGTTACTAACAGCCCACACTATGTTTTGAAGGACTTTAAAAGATACTGGACTGTATAGCCATCGACATAAGAGGGTTGGAACGTTGTCTGGAGGAATGAAGAGGAAGTTGTCCATATCCATAGCTCTCATTGGTGGCTCAAGAGTGGTGATTTTGGATGAGCCGTCCACTGGAGTTGACCCATGTTCTCGCCGAAGTATATGGGATGTTATATCCAAGAACAAAACTGGTATGAGTGTCTTATTGTAATGTCTCCTTCTATCCTACAACCAAAGTTTCGTCCTCTCGATTACACAGTACTATGAGGAAGGTTTTTTTGTGTGTATGACACCCTTTAAATTGACCCTTTGATTGACTCTCCTTTCCAGGTCTTCTCCCAAGTCAATGTCTGGGTCAATTAGTTAATGTCTATCTAGTGCACACTATAGACTGAGAACTTCACAGGTGTTTTTGGGTTGGGTTGTGGTTTGGTTTTTTTTTTGAGAGTTTATAAATGCAAATATTAAAATTAAATTATATTAAGTGAAAAAGGTTCAGATTCTACATAGAGGAGCTTCGAATCTAATTAGAAGTATCAAACACACACAAAGGCAAATAAACCCCAAACAGACTAAATAGGTGCTAACAGGATATGAAGCGAAGGAGTAATCAGAGTGGAGTAGATTAATCAGAGAGGAATATTCAGAAAGGCTTTAAAAATATTGCATTTTTTATAGAGATGGAAGGCAGAAAGAGAGAGGAAGAAAGGGATAAAAATGAAGCCAAAGATTATGCTAGACTATGCCAAAAATCACCAATGTCAATACCATGAATATTATACAAACAACTTGACAGCATAATAAATTCATTTTATCTGCTAGTTTGTATGTAAGATCTCCCAAAGGTCTAAAAAGATCCTTCTTAAGTTTCTTTTGATCATTTTGGAAACTCCTTCTGGTCAACTATTTTCCAGTTAGGTCCTAAAATATGACTCTTCTTACATGTGAAAGGGCATACACTTCCTTTAAAATTTTGAAAAAAATATGTATAACACAATGTTTTCTACATGCACAATTTAGTGCTATCAATTACATTAATCATCTTACCCCTTATCGTGGCCAGATTTCTCTTCACCCTAACCAGAAACTCATTCCTTCTTAAACAATAGCTCCCCATTCCCTTTCCTCCCATTCTTGGTGACCACTAATAGTTGCATGTATCTTTGGAATGGTATCTTCCCTTCACACATTTTTGCTCATTTTGTCTGGATTTTCAAGCCAGGACAATCATTCTGTCGACACATCACTTGGACGAGGCTGAAGTGCTGAGTGACCGCATTGCCTTCCTGGAGCAGGGTGGACTTCGATGTTGTGGGTCACCTTTCTACCTCAAGGAAGCCTTTGGGGATGGATATCACCTCACACTCACCAAGAAGAAGGTTTGTGAAGGAGAAACTGTACATCATTATAAGAATCATAAATATTTTTAATGCAAATTTGAGACAATGTCTTCCAAAATCCATTGCTAAAATTTATTACTATTCTCTCACACCACCAACTAATAGAACACTCTGCAAGCTTGTTAAAACTCAGACTGTGGACACTATTCTGAGAGTCTGACTCACTAGGTCTGGGGTGACACTCCCCAGTTTACGTGTCTACCACCAAGGTCTGGGGTGATGACACTGGTCTAAGGACCTAGTGAAAGCTTCTCAACACTATCATTTACATTTTAAGAAGGAAGATCAACTTTTGAACCCCCATAACATTTCCATCTAAAGGCTGAAAATTAGATGTTCTGCTTTATCAAAAGCAAATGAAGAGAGTATGAAATGACATATTCACGCTTTAATTAGTACTCTTCATTCAAATTGCAGCATGGAGACAAACTAGCGCATGTCAACAAGGCTTTTACGTCTTTTAAAGATGAAAGTGCTGAGTAAAGCTCCCTTATACCACCTAAAATATGACTTGATTTCATAATACAATGTAAGAATTATGTGCTATTAAGTAAATTTTTGCTGTTTTTATTTATGTGACTTCCAATATATGAAAAATGTTTCATAATGATGTTCCTTAATAAATCCAAAAGTAGTAGGTGTTTGACATGTGGCCAAGCCTTATACTAGGACCTGGGGATACAGCAATGGCTAAGGATGCTAAAATCTCCACCCTGGAGATTATCTTCTGATGAAGAGTGAAAAACTCAGGGGATAAAATCAGTAAGAATATGATTTCATTTATTAATGAAGTCATTTGCCATGAATCAACATAAATTCTGACAATGCTGTGGAGTCTCAGAACTTAACTATACTTGATAAAGTTTTCAATGACTGACATTTTGGAAGTAAACAACCAAGTACTTCTGGGCAGACTCAAATTATCAACCTTTTGGTTAGCACCTGAGCCTATTAATCATTTGCACTACCCAACAACTCTGTATAGTATGTTTATAAATGGTCACTGCTATGGGTAGAACTAAGTCAGGAAGTGTTAACTAGATAGTGGTGGGCCATGTAATTTTATGTAAGGTCTCAAGGAAGGTGTCTCTGATAAAGTGACAGTCGAGTCAAGATGTGGATTTGGTGAGATAGTCACCTACATATGTGTTTATGGGACAAGAAGGTAACTGGCAGAAGCTCTCAGCCTCCGAGGATCTAAACACAAACAAACAAAAGAAGAGCGAATGAGAGGGGAATGATGGCTGATGTGGTCAGAGGAGGGGATGGATTGAGTGGAGCTGGCAGCTCAACCCCCGACTGGTCCCTGAATAAGAGAGAGCAGTTGGGGGGATTGGTGAGTAGATGGTGTTTCAAGGTGACCTGAAGAGCTCAGCACCCCCAGATTCACGCCCTTGGCCACTGCAGAGAAGAAATTGCTTAACATCTGTCTTTATCTCTAGAGTCAAAATCTAAACTCGAAGGTAATATGTGACACAGTGGCTGTGACGACGATGATCCAGTCACACCTCCCGGAAGCCTATCTCAAGGAGGATATTGGAGGCGAGCTCGTTTACGTGCTTCCCCCATTTAGCACCAAAGTCTCGGGAGCCTACCTGTCACTGCTGCGCGCGCTGGACAGTGGAATGAGTGGCCTCAACATCGGGTGCTATGGCATCTCAGACACCACTGTGGAGGAGGTAGGCCGCAGCATCACTCTTTTCTTTAAAAAGAAAACAAACACAGAAAGACACACACACAAAAAACTAACCAAACTGGTACAATTTTCTGTTTCTATTTAAAAAAAAGACCTAATTTTTAAAAAAGACCTATGAAGAAGAGTCCTCAACACTTGGGTGATTTTCATCCTCTCTCCAGTTTCATAGGGTTTCTGGAGGCAAGCTATTATGGAAGTGGATGTCACTCCTCCTTCCAACCTTGTTTTAATCCGGGAGCTCCACTCTGCTCTCTGTCCGCATTGGGTAACCAGCCATTAATACATTTGACACGTTAGTGTCACAGTATATACATATATGTATACATATACATATACTTATACATATACATAGAGAGAGAAATATTTTACATATCAGAACATTTTTAAGTTACCTCAATGTGTTCTTATGTAACACTAACTTCTGAAGGATTACAAACACGTTCCAATTAGAGAAGAGACCTTTTCTATTTTTAAATCCAAATGTTTTCGCTGAAATATGGGAATAAAAAGTAAAGTTTATCGCTTTTAGTTATTTGTATTTCTCGGTTTTATTTCTTTGTATTTGTCAATTTAGCTACTTTACTCAAGACAAGTGATTAATAAGTCCCAATCAAAATTGAGCTGAGAAACTGGAAGATATGTATCATTTTTATGTAAATAGAGTGACCTGACTTCTCTGCACAGGTATTCCTCAACCTGACCAAAGAGACACAGAAGAATAGCGATATGAGTCTTGAGCACTTAACACAGAATAAAATCGGAAATCCCAGTGCCAACGGCGTCTCCACTCCTGACGATTTATCTGTGAGCAGCAGCAACTTCACAGACAGAGACGGTACAAAGCTAACGTGGATATTTAGACGAATGGCAATGTCGTAAACATGAAAAGTAGGAGGGCAGATTTTTATTTTAAACCCCAAGAAGCAGTTGTGGTTTGTTTTTTTTTTTTTAACATTTCTTTATTATACTGGTTTATTTACAAAATTCAGATACACTGTTTTCCAGAACAGATTCTTCCAATTTCCCTCACCGCCTCCCATCAAATTGTACAACCCCATGATTAATCCCTCCTCCCTCTGCACATCCTCATCCCTCTGTTTCCACTCTCTCCAAGCCCCCTTTGATCCTTGTACACATTCTACAGTTAATTGTTTTATACAGTATTTGTCCTTGAGGGACTGAGTTAGTTCACTCAGCATAATGCTCTCCAGTCCCTCCCAAGTTAGATAATAATTTAGAAAATCATTGCTCCTTCATGCTGCATAGTATTCAATTGTTGGAATATACCATAATTTTTCAATCTGTTCATTTGTGTTTGGACATCTGGGCTGTGCTATTTAAAAAAAAAATACAGCTTAAAGATGTTCTTCTAAATTCAAAAATGCTAAAGACATGTGAACCAAGCAAGCAACCTGTGGCTGTCAAGCTATTTCCAATTCATGCAGAGCCCATGTGCTACACAAAAGGTTATTGTTGTTATGTGCTCTTGAGTCGCTTGCAACCCATAACGACCCTATGTACAACAACTTTGAACCCTGCTCTATCCTGAGCCAGTATTATTGTCTCTGATCACCTACCCCTATTACCCCAGTCACTGAGTCAATCCATCTCATCGAGGGTCTTCCTCTCCTGTTCTGTCCCTCCAACCTTCCCAAGCATGACATACGTCTCCAAGGACTGGTCCTTTCTTGAAACTTGACCAAAGTATGGCAGATAGAGCTTCAAAATCCTTGCCTCCAAGGAGCATCCTGTTTCACCCTCTCCAGGATGAAGCTGTTTGTCCTCCTAGCAGTCCATGGATTATTCCATAATCTCCAGCATCACAATTCAAAGGCATCAATTCTCCTTCTGCCATCCCTTGTCACTGTCCAGCTTCCTGCTATATAGCAAGAAATTACAAAGGCCATCAAGTGAAACTCTCTTTTGCATAAATCCTTTGAAAGATATGGAAATATGTCCTTGATAGAATGATGAAGAATATTCCTTTTAGCCACTATAAATTACAGTCAGAATGTAACTTACTATAATTTCACTTTTTCTATCAACATGTTAGAATCCTTCCTGCAACCATTTTTTTTTTAAATTTAGGTTGTTTCTTTTTCATTTCAAAGAACATCTACAGAGATTTTGGGATTCCATTCATTCATTGTTGCACCCTTTTCCCCGCACAAACCCCTCCCCCCTCCCCCCCTTTTGCTCCTCTCCTTGAAAAGCAAAAGAAAAACTCCCTCATTGGTACACAATTCCCCCCCCGCACCTCCCCAG